CCCACCCATTACTTACCGTTGTAATTTTCAGATAAAGGCTCACTAAGTCACTCAAATGTCTAGGTTGGGCCTCAGTTTGCAGTCCTGCCTCAGCCTCCCACAGGGCTTGTGTTACAGGTGTGCACCACCACACCTGGCTGTCCTTGAAAGATTTCTGTAGGGGAAGGTTGGCTCCTCCCAGAGGGTCCGGCTCCTGCGGGCAGAATGTGGAGACGGAGACAGAAGACAGCGGCACCATTATGATGATTCTTGTTTGTCACTTTGACCCTTTGTGGAATCAAATGTGTGTCCAGTAGTGGCTAAAGAATTAGTTTTCTCCTTTCTTTGCAGAGCAGCGGTTTGAGGAAGGCTGTGCTTGGCGGCACATGGCGCTGTGGCTCAGGTGAGGGTCTCTGTCTTTCTTGGTGGGCTCAGCACGGTGGTCGAGCTCCACATCCCCACAGGGACACATTCTGCTCCCTCTCCCATCTCTTTGGATTTGCATTGCTCAGCGTCCACTGACTAACACATGCGGCAGGAGGGGCTCCGCAGAAGCCTCCTCCATGTGGACAGCAAGTGGGGAAGGCTGCGACCAGGCGGTGGCAGAAGCCGGCCCCTTGTAACAGGAGCTCCCAGCCCCGGATGTCCAGGCTTCAGGCCTGGTTTGAACAGGGCCTGGGCTAGAGAACAAGAGAAACTGCTGGCTATGAAAGACACATCAGCAAACACAGAACGTCAGCCTGCTGTTGAGTGCCTATCTCGAGCTTTCCCTCCCTGCCCTGAGCCTCCAGGGACAGAGGCCCCGTCCTCAAGTCTTCAAGGAGTTCAGCTCCCACACTGGACAGGAATTGCCCATGACTTCAGGCTGCTTTTGTTCTGTGCTCTGGAAAAATCTCCCAAGTGAGTGAAAGGGAATGGGTGGTGGGAAAAGCCTGGAACTCCTCATTATTTCAATGAAACCCTCTGGCCTGGAACTGAAATATGAATTCCTCGTGCTCAGACCCAGGGCTGCTGCTCAGTGACACGCCCGGCCCCAGCGCACGGGAGCAATGTGCAAAAGCCACAGTACCGGTTGGGAAAGCACAGTACGGTCCCCGCAGATGGGGGTTCAGGGCCGCAGGACTCTGGCACCACACGGGCACCACCAGCCAGAGCTTCTGCTGGGCCACAGGCTGGATGTCGTAACCCCCCTCTGCTCGAAGACACCACACTAAGCTGAACTTGTGAGATAAGGACAAAGGCAACTTCAAAACGCACCAAGTTCCAGTCAACAGCTTTGCCCTAGCAAGCCCAGTGCCACTGTTCTGCTCCCCTGGGCCAGGTTCTGCCTTGAGGATGCGGCCCTGGTGCCCACAGAGCCTGAGAGGAAGCCTCAGTGCACCGATTGCGCCTTCTGTCCCGCACCTAGACGCTGGGGGGCCTGCGCATCTCACTGCTGTCTCTGTGCCCTGTCCCTGAATTGCTGCATTC